ATTGTGAAAAAATAAATGTTCCACAAATGTTAGATAATATCACCATATCACCTGAACTATTGTGAGCAGGCCGATTGGGGACAAGACTGGCAGGCCTCCTGCAAGCAGCCATCCCAGTGAACTGAACAGCCACAGACATGTGGAGAGAGTGGAGGCTGGCTACCACTTGTCCACCAGCTGTAACTGAGGTCACTGGAGAGCTCATTAGTGTCTGGATGGAGTAATAAGCAAGCATTGTCTTGGCCATCCTGGTCCTCACACTGGAAGCAGGAGTTCTGGAGGAATCCAGGGCAGCAGTGAGTGGTGCTGAGTATGCAAACACATAGCTGCTTTCCCTGCCCACCTCTCATTGCCTCTTGTGCTCACGACCCCACCCCACTGGCCCATCTTAGCAGTCTTGACAGCTGATGCCCCATCACTTGAGACTTCTGAGCTGTTGTGTGATATTGTTCACTGCACCAGCTTGGTGACCCCAGGAATCATTCCAGAGAGTCACAACCAATGGAAATACCCAAGCCCCATGGGGAACCAACTCCTCCTTCCTTCCTGTCTACATGAGTTTGCTATGACTGCCATAACAAATCCCCACATGCTGGGTGACTAGCCCAGCAGAAATGCATTGTTGCACAGTTCCAGAAGCAAGAAGTTGGCAGGGTTGCTCCTTCTGAGGCTGCAAGGGAAACACCTACTCCAGGACCCTCTCTCCTTGCCTTGTAGATGGCTATCTTCATGTTCATGTGGTGTTCTCCCTCTTATACATTTCTGTCCCCAAAGTTTCACTTTGTAAAGACGCCAGTCATATTGCATTATAACCTCATCTTAACTTGATCACCTCTGCAAAGTCCCCGTCTCCAAATAGCATCCCATTTGGGGTTTGGGGATTAGACATCAGGGTGTGAATTGTGGGTGTTGCAATTCAGTGTCTAATACTGCCCTAGCCCAGATCGCTGATGTCTGCTGTCTGTTCTCTGGTCTGACTCAATTTGTAGCATCTGCAGCCCTGCAATCTGACAGCTCACCCTGAGAACTAAGGCAGAAATAAGGTTTAAATTCTAGGCTGAGCACCATCCACAGCGAAAGCTTTGGTCTTGAATTGTCATTTTATCATTTTACTTCTCTGAAACCAAAATGGAGGAAATAATATCTGCCATGCTATCGTCACAAAGCTACTGTGACCATCTAACAAGACAGTGAATGTTGCAGTGTTGTGAAAAAATAAGTACCTCACAAATGTGAAATAGTATCATTGTATCTTTATTATCACTAGTAAGAATAAAGGAATTCTAAAGCTAGAAAACGGTTCTTCTATACCCTCTGGAGCTGAAGAAATCTATTCCATTTACAAAGCCATCCCTTTTTATTCCTCTCAAGAGGAAATCCTACAATGATCCCTAGTTGTGAAACAGTTCCCTCTTCCAATGAATTACAAGTTTCTCTCACTCTGCAACCATCCTCACCTAACCTAAGTGCTCTGTGCTACATTTAAGCCCACCTGTTTTCATTCTGACCTTGGTTGGGGAGAACTAATCATTCTCCAATATTTTTTAATCAGTCCTTTCCTCAAGTCAGCAGATTTTTCCTGAGCACTTGTCACATACCAGGCACTGTGCTTTGTGTTAGCAGATCAGAGCTGGAAAAGGGAGCTCTGTGAGCCTTCTGCTGTTCACAGTTGAGAGGCCAAGCATTCCTGGGGTGTTGTCTTCCCTTCTCCCTAAGAAGCATCCAATCCCTAAGGCTGTTTCCTTGCATAGGCAGTGCTGCCTAAGCTTCAGTTTTCCTCACACTGTGCCCTCCACACCCCATCTGCAGGTGACCTTGAACTTCTTTATTATGAGCTTTCTCTTTAAGCCAGGACTCCATTCATGTCAGTCATTTTCCATGAATGCTGTCTGCACATATGGGTGGTTTTGCTACTGATGAAGCCAAAGATGGCAGCCCCAAAGCCTTCTCTCCAATGGAAGTCCCTATCATCTTGTGGTTCCAAACAGACATCTGTAATCCAATTCCACCATCCATCTCAGGGCCATATGACAAAGAAGGTGATCCTGCGGGTTGTTCTTCCTCAAAAAGTGACGTGTTCTATTCTTTCTGTCCTATTCTGTCATCTCTCATCTATTAGCCTAGTTGGTGGAGCTTCCCAAGTCAAAGTGGCTACTTCCTGCTTCTCCCTTGTTCTCTGAATGGTCTTTGACAAAACCCCACTTGCCCAGCTGTGTTTCCAGATTTTCCTCCCATCCCCTACTTCTGTCCTGAGGCATGCTTCCACACGTGGACTCAATGATCTCTGCTTTACTTCTGCAAACCTCTCCAAAGAGCATCCCAAATTTTTATATATGCAAAACTAGCTAATTCTCACTTCTCTTATCCTCCAACCTGCTCCTCCTTGCAGAGATCCCAGTGGCTTCTCTGCAAAGACTCAGTCCAAGAGCCCTCTCACTTAATAAATTTCTCCAGTGTGCTTATTAGCGCCTTGTAATGTAGCCACCTAAATAATTAAGACTAACCCACACGTGTCAAATTAAATGAGCCAAATACATTGAGAAATTACCTTGTCCTCGATTTCTTTTATTAAGCAGGGTTTTTTTAACTTCTTTTCCTGCTCATTTACAAAAATCAAACATGGTCAGGGAGACTCTTGCTTATAATAACTGTGTGCACATGTGGCCTCTCCTCTGTCAGTCACCCTGGGGGACAACCTAGTATGTGACATTTGAGTCACATAGGATAGCCAGCATTAGTTTCCCAGGCTCTAAATAATCTTTAGGAGAATTCCTCCCCCTCCCCCATTTGCCCAGTCTGCCTAGACCAGCAGGAACACTGTCCATATCCATCTAACATCCTTTGTCCTCTTTCCTCAGTTCTCCCCTGGGCTCCCTCCTGGGCTCAATCCAGGAACTCAGATTCCCTTTCTCATTAGCAGCCACTGCTGATATGCTTAGCTGGGCATCAGAAGTTGGCGCAAATGTAATAGGAATAGTCAGAAATTGCATCATTCTGGTGATGGACAATATGCCTGCAATTCTAATGGGCTGACTAACTGCAGGCTGCTGGACCCCAAGGCTTCAATACAGTCTCGAGCAAAGGGCCATTGTTGGCTGCAGCTTAGCACCTCTTCGAAGCTTGTGCTTCTGCTGGCCCCCTCCTGGAATGTTGCATTCCTGATTCTTGGAGGTGGTTGTTAGAAAGAATCCACAAATATAGTGAGTAAACATCAAAGGGGCTTTGATCTACATGGTCCTTGACAGAGCAGGAGCCCCTAAAGAAAAGGCCAAGGCTTTGGATGGGAGAACTTAACATCGTCAATTCGGGTACCTGAGAATCGAGGCTGTTTGAAGTGGGGGCCGGTTGACTGAGCCTTCAGATGAGTGAGCAAGTGTGCAGGGGAAGGAAGAGGAGCGAGTGCCTTTGGAAACAGCAACCTCAGATCTGCCTCTCTGCGCTTCCAGATAGTCAATAAGCCCCTTTAAAGAACTGGGAGATCAAAGCGGGCAAACTCCCTGGGCTGTGGCATTCTCCCATCGCCTGCCACGCTTTGTTTTTCCCTGGGGCATGAGCCCCAGAGCTTGACTTGTCTGCCTCTCATGGGCCCTACACTCCCTTTTATCCTGCCACCTTGGGAGGGTGCAGCTGCACAGCAGAAGAGAAAGGAGACGTAGGAGGAGGAAGGGACCCAATCTGTCTGTCCCTGACAGCAGAGACACTGACTGTGGCCAAGAGATGCATTGTGGCATGTCTCTCACTGGGACCCTCCTTCTCTGAGAAATTGAAGAATGAAGCAGCCAGGTGCCCAGGAATCCTGACAAGGCCTGGGGGGAGCTACGGTCACATTCCCAATTTCAGAAATCAAACGCTTTAGCCATTTTCCCAGTCTCTGGCAGTTGTCACCTTTGTGTAACTTCTAAGCAAGGAGGTGGAGGTGGAGAGTCTAAAATAATCAAGGGCAGTCATTTAACGTCGTTAGGCCTCAGTTTTCCAATCTGTGTCTTGTGAGTAACAATTGCCCATTGGCCTATCTCCCAAGGTTAAAAGGAAAAGCAGGTATGAAAACACTTCAGACTCATAAAGTACTTGAGACAAATCAGGATTAGAGGATAAATACCCGAGAGGAAAACTTGGAGGCAGATGTACTCCAGTTCATGCCTACGTAGAGTAGGCACAGATTTACAAAATGCACCACAAGAAAGGAAGGAAGGAAGGGAAAGAGAGAAGGTGAGAGAGAGGGAAGGAGGGAGGAAGGGAGAAGAGAGTCCCTCACATTTGCTACCTGGATTGTTCTATTTTGTTTGTTTGGTTGGGTCAAAGTACTATGGGTCCTTGCATTGCTTAACTATCCCAACCTTGGGATCTGAATCCATACATGTAATTGCTGAACAATGATGCTGAATGGTGCCTCATATAGGAATGCACAGAAACACCCAGCCCCATGAATGCATCCAAAAGGTAGAAAGAGGTCTTCTGCCTAGACCCCAGCCCCTGTGTCTTTCCCAAACTCACTCCATCACATCTTCCTCCTGGGTCACCTACTATAGGTGGTTGCACTGTTCCATCCTGGATGTCACTAACTGGATCTGTCTCTTTTCTGACAGGTCTGAACACAGTCCCAGTGAGGTCTGGGCATATTCCCAAGCCTGGGGTATAAAGGGCATCAGTAGCTCAGAGTAATGTTGATGAGCATGGAGAGTCAGGCTGTATAGGTTCAAAGTTCCAGCTCTGCCACCTGCTACCTCTTTAAGGCCACTTAGTTAATACATTTCTAAATGGAGGTGATATAAAATGGGGCTAATAACAGTACATAGCTCACATGATGTAATGAGAATCTAGTAAGAATTATCAACAAAATTATGCCTAGAATGTAGCGAGTGCTATATAAATATATATACATATATATGCTTGTTATTAATGAAGCAGATCTATTTTAGGAGCAATAACTGCAGCCCCCCACAGAATGGCCTCTCACACCTTGGCCACTCCCAACTCACCCACTTGTGCTTCTCTTTTAGAGCTGGGCCTCCAGAAGAGAGGATGCTGTCTGGTGCTGGGCTACATGGCCAAGGACAAGTTTCGGAGAATGAATGAAGGTCAGTGGGAAACTCCCCACCATCTTATGGGTAACATGGAGGGAGGAAGCTATTTCCTATTGTTATGCCACAGAGGAACCAGGAAAAGGAACCTGGGATAGTTCAGAAAAGAGGGAGGACAGTTCAGCAGGATTTCCATGAAGCTCTTTATACAGTAATGTCAGGGAAAGCAGCTAATGTCTGAATCACAGGATGCTGATTCATAGCATTTTCCTTATGCCCATCTTCCCACCTTCCTTTGTATTCCCTATTTCTCTTCCTCTCTCTTCCCTACCTTTGTTCCGCCCAATTAAATCTACTTCTGTTATCTTCCTACTCCAAACTTCTCTATCCTTCTTGCCTATCATTCATATTTCTTGAATGCCTATCCAGATAAATAACATCTTACAGAGCACTTTGGAGTATACTAGTTACAGTGTCTTTATTCTCAAAGGGCTTATAGTTGGAAATCTGTCTTCTTTTCCAACCCAGTGGCCTACCACTCCCTCTTACTCACGGACCACTCTGGCCTCCTTTTGCACTGGGTCTCTCCTCTGGGGTTTGCCTGGATCATGAAAGACTTATGGAAGGTATTGACATTGACGTTCAAGCTGTTGAGGAGTGCTGTCACTTATGGGCCTGGTGTAATAAAGAACCAATCCTCTCCATCCCCAGCCATCTGTCTTTGTGCAGCTAATAACCCTTTTCATCAGATGCCACAGACTGTTTGTCAGGATTCAAAAGTAGATAAACAATGGCCAGGGATGCCATTTATTCATTAAAGTCAGACAAATGAAGCCTTGGCTTTCCACCAGCCCAGCTTGCCATGCACTGGGCCCTCTGTCTGGAGGTTCAGAGCCCCTGTAGCCTCATTCCCATTCCAGGAAAGGAGGAAGAAGTTCACCTCTGTCAACTCTTCCCCCAGAGATAAAGCACAACATAGTTCCAGGGACTGCTTCCTGCACTCTGCAGCTGACTCTTCCCAACCCCTTGTCCATGAAACCCACACTTCTGTGTGTACCACAGATCTGAGCCCTTACCAGCTATGGGCCTATCACCAGCACCCATCATGGTGACAGTCTGATCAGACCTAGGCCAGCATAGTTAAGCTCAGGAAACAGTCACCTCCCCGACTTGCCGCCTGTCTGCAACAAAGCAGCAGCCTCCAGAAGACACTTCTCATTTGTGGGAGACCTATGACTGAGCACAGCCAGGGGTGGGGGCAGCATATCTCGTGTCCTGCTCATCAATCTCTTTCATCGACTTTTTTCTTTCTTTTTTAGTCACCCCCTCCCTTCCTAGCACCCCTGCCTTGACAGGAGTGCTCAGCAGTAACTTCTAATTTGTGGGAGCTGACAGCGTACCTCTGTCCGTGGTGCTGAATAGACATGTTCTCTCTCTGGCAATGCTCATTAGAGAAACCGAACGGAGGTTCATGGGAATTGGAGAAGCCAAAGAGTCAGGAGGCAGACTTTATCTGAAACCCAAGCTCCAGGTGTCTGACCCCAGCTTCTTGATGACCAAGGAGACAAGGTGGTGAGCAAGATGAGCCAACACGTGTGATGAGCTACATGGCTCAACTAATGAGAAAAGGAAGACAGGATATGAGCACGCTGATAAAGTGGGGCAGAAGAAGAGATAGGTCACCAAGCTTTGGCTCTGGAGGGTGGAAGACATGAGGGGCAGGGGAGGGACGGACCAGCTCCACTCCAGACAGCGTTGCCACTCCAAGGGCCACGGTACATGTTTCCCTCTCTAGAGCTCACATGCCCAAACTCCAACACATCTTCAGATAAGAAAAAGCATCCACACTCATGGGGAGCTGTTTTATGGTTTACAATTATCTCATACCAATACTCAAAATAGACATAACTCCCACATATTAATAATTGAATTGGAATAGCAGCCGTGACATAGATCAAAAAATAGAAATCTGTCCATGCCACATAACACACCTTGGTGTACATTGAACAATTGGCAAAGTAATTATTTTTCTCTCACTTGCTGGAATTCGTGAGATATTGGAACAATTAGCTGCTTCCTCCATTAAAGTGGTTAGCATTATATTTCCAAGTCAGAATAAATATAAAAAACCTACTTGTGCTATATTAAAGCATATTTGTTTTGTTTAACAGTATCTAATAGGGTGTCTGTCACCCAAGGAGAAGTGGTCCCCTAGTTCATTTATTTTCCTGTTAATTTGCTAATATCTTTTTTGTTTTCTTCACCCTCTACTCCCCCCTCCTCACTACATTCCAAAAAAGAGCAGCTTGAGAAGGAACAATAGGAAAATAATGAATGAACAGAAGCTTTATATATCTGGGGTTTATCATAAGTTAGAGTAATCACAATTGGTGCTGTTAAACTACACAAAGCAATAAAAAGAAAACACTATACAAAGATCATTTAAGGAGGCATGTGATAGTCAATGAGGGGTTTTCTCTGTGAGTGCTTAACAGCTTCTCAGAGAAAATCTGCAGCATTCACAGGAATGGAGGTGGTTGGTAATGGAGGGAGTGTGTGTGTGTGTATTCTTTCCATTTTGGACTCAACACATCTGAGACACCTAATGCAGATATGAACAAAAATCAACAAAGAGCAGACAAGAAACGGGGGGATAAAGACAGGCTGGGCATGAGAATATCAGATTTGCCTGACATCATTGTCCTCATTTGATTAAGAACACAGTGCTTTAAAGGAAACACTGTAAGGACATCATTTATTTATTTATTCATCAAAAATTCATTGAATACTATAAAAATGATACCAATTTTTCATAATAAGTGCCAGGCATCACAGTAAGCACTAGAGCTATAGAAGTAAATAAGATATAGTCCCTGCCTTCGAGATGCTGGCAAGAACACTCAGGTACATCTCAGTGTAAAAGTCACCTCTACAAAGGAATCATGCCCTACACATGCCCTACATGCCTTATCTAAGTTAGATACCCCTCTTCTGCACCATACACTCCACTATGACAATTAGTCTACATATTGTTTGGCACCCATTTCAACATGCAATTATATAGTGAATTTCTTTTTTTTTTTCCCCAACTCTCAGGTGTCTGTTCCCAGGGAGCTCTTCCTAGGATGCCGGGGCCCAGGCAGGTCAGTGGGACTAAAGCAAGGATCCCCAGGGGTAGCCTCCCTGTTTTCTACACCAGCTCTCTTACCTCACCCCATGCACTGTTGAGCATGTATTCAGGCATCTCTAGGCATATATTTCCCATCACATCTCTTGTTCCTTCACCCCTCATCTCCAACACACACAACAGAGAGGGAGGGAGGGAGGGAGGGAGGGAGAGAGAGAGAGACAGAGAGAGACAGAGAGAGACACTTTGTCTGTCTTTCCCAGCTTTCCTCCAATGACTCTTTGGCTTGGATATTCCAGAAACACTTATCTTCTAGTGGATCTTGCTCTCCCAGAGCAGGTCCTATTCCTAGACAGAACAGAAAGCTGTTGCATGGTATCAGATGAAGGTCTCCTTGTTCCTTCATGTTGGAACCATAAAGAACCCCTGAGATAGTAAAGCAACCTGCTAACTCAGCAGAGCCCAGAAGCCTTGAGCCCAGGGTCAACAGGAAGTAGTTGAAGAGCCAGGACTGCAGCCCAGGTCTGTGGGTTTGCAGGACTCTAGGAATTCTGAACGATGAGGTTGAGACCATAAACAGGGAGGGACCCCTTAACACTTTAGCTTGGCTTGGTTTTCAGGGTAACTGAAAAGGGAGAAAGAGTGACAGGGCAGAACACAGGAGAGACTTGGAGCTGGGACATGGACTGAGGAAGACAACCCTAAGGAACCAGAAAATTCATTAGGCACCTCCAGAGAAGGAGAAAAGAGGAAAAAGATGTTCAAGGGAGGAGAGAGGAGACAAGAAACTCTTGACCGGCCTTCCAGCAGCCCCTGAGGCTAAGGTGAACTGCACAGGAGGGCACATGGGGTGCCCTGCCATCTTCAGTGATTTCCTAGATTTTCAGGGTCATTGTGACCAGCTGCTTCTCTCAGCTCAGTGAAAGGGGTGCAGAAATGTCCCTCGGACTGGGGAAAGAAACACTCTTGAGTGATTAGCTAAGGCAGCTGATGCTCACCAGAGATTCTGGGCTCCTGTGGAATGTGCTGGCATACCCAGGAAGGAGAAAGCTGGCTCCACATATGTCCAGCCCCCAGCAGGCTCTTGCATGGCCCCAGCTCCTAGGACACCATTGCCCTAGTTCAGACTCCGACTGCCAATACACCTCCTCCATGATGCCCATCCTCACATCTCAGCATCATGATGGATGATGGAAATCTGGTGTTTTCAATGACCCTGGAGGTCTCTGTAATGATGTGGAAGCCTTTCTTTCTTTGTGCATCCCAGTCCCTAATCCATAAAAAGTCTAAACTTCCACTGGCCCCTGCTTACTCACTAACAGAGTTGGTAAGAAATGCAGTTGAGGTACATAGTGGAAGGCACACCTAAGAGTAAGGAGCCAGACATGTGAGCTTGTCTCTGGCAAGGCCCTGGACATCTGTATTTCAACTGCCTCATGCATGCATGAAATTGAATAATGTCAATAAAGACCAGCTGTAGGTTCCTAAAATGTGATAATGTTAGACTCTAGCTTGGCTCTCAATATCCTGCCCACACCTGCTCTCACCACCCATCTTATACTTTTAAATGCCCTGTTCACCAAAGGAACCAGTGCTAGGAAGTTGACTGGCTTTGCTTAGCAATCTCCAAACACCGATTCATGTTTCTTTCTCTTGTCTGTCTTCAAAGAGCCTGATCAGAGCCCTGTCCACTGTACACTGGGTGGCAGAGAGGCATCCAGTAGCCCTGAAAATGAGCTGCACTTTTTCCAGAACAGAGAGGAAGCAGGAGTAGGGTGGCTTGGGCCTGTCCCCTGGAGACCTGAGCCCGGGAAGAATGCACCTCACTAGCCTGGGAAGCTCTTCTCGCTCAGACAGCCTGCCTCACACTAAGGGGACACAATTATTTTCCTGAGACCATTCCTCCACTGCCCACCAGAGCCCCCAGGAT